AATCAATCAATATTGGAGGTAGTAAAGGTTAGAATTAAAATTGCCTAAAATAAAATAATAATGTAGAGTAACGTTTCCTAACCTTTAGCCTGTCATAGCTTACATAAAAATGGCATTATTTGTAGGAGCACTGGGAGAAATGGACAAGGTTGCTTGGGGGCTTAGACTACAGGATAAGAGGTTCAGGCCACCCCAGTAATGGCCCCACCCCTACCACCTGGAGGGCCAAGGACAATCACTTTCTCGGCACACCTGAAACCAATTTGGGAAAGTTTGATGAGTGGTGCAAACTGGAAAGGTTTTCTAAAAATGTCAAGGAAAAGGACAAAGAGAATAACATGAGATTAAAGAAAATGTGATAACTATGGAAGACAGAAAATAGATATTCAACCTACAATAGTGTTTCTAAAAATGAAACAAAAACAAATCCTGCAGAAGCAATCATAAAAAGTGTACGTAAGAGGGGCCGGCCCAGTGGCGTAGTGGTTAACTTCTCACGCTCTGCTTCAGCAGCCCGGGGTTCGCAGGTTCAGATCCCGGGTGTGGACCTACACACTGCTTGTCAAGCCATGCTGTGGTGGCGTCCCATATAAAGTAGAGGAAGATGGGCTCAGATGTTAGCCCAGGGCCAATCTTCCTCAGCAAAAAGAGGAGGATTGGCAGATGTTAGCTCAGGGCTAATCTTCCTCACCAAAAAAACAACAAAAAAAGCGTACACAAGAAACATGTGTGAGTTGAAAAGAAGACAAAGCTATAGTTCAGAGAGGCTCTTTTTATTCAAGGGAAATTAATAAAATAATGCTTGTTTACTCATATCCTAGTGACACCTTTAAATGTCAAGGTTAAAGAAAATAGCTTATAAATATCCAAACAGGGGTAAAATAAGCCAGGTTAACAAGAACAAGCACATATTATACTGGCCTCAGGTCAAGGCACAGCAAAGTGAAGATAATGTTCCTTCTAGAAAAAAGAAAAAGACTCAAATACGTGGTCCAGTTTATAAGAAATAAATCAAAATTAAGAACTCAAGAAGTGTGGAAGTCAGTGACTACTTTAAAAAAGTAGTCAGTGAGGTTAAAAATAAATAGGTAAATAAAAGTATAAACAACTGCTATTCATGTGGTTACAAAACTGAAAGCAAAAATAAAATTAATCAAAAATACTTTTATGTGATAAGAAGAATCACATAATAATATTGTAGTTCTCTGAACAAAATAAATTAACAAAGACTAGAAGGAAGGAAGGAATACATTGATGAAATTAAGGCTGAGATGAAACTTGAGGAAACAAAAACAAACATAACTTCTTGTTTTACCCAGAGTGGGTTAAGACTCAAACATTGTCTGCTTCTTGTTTTGATAAGGGCAGAAATGTAGTGGGTATTTGATTTTACCTTAAAGTTTACCACTACAATACAGAAAATAAAAACAAGGAAAATGTGGTTCATATTACGTGAGCCAGGAAACAAAGAAAAGAGCAGGCAAGCATAAAATAAGATGACAAGAAAAATCCAAATATATAGCGATATATGTATCTGATAAATGTATCTAGTTTCAGTTTTCTTATTAAATGTAAATAAGTATCAGGTTAGATTTAAAGAACTAAAATCCAATCACGTTGTTACTTAAAAGTTCACAACTAAAACAAAATGACACAGCAATACCAAAGATCAAGCAAAGATTGCAATAAAATACAAACAAGAAGACATTAGGGGCAACAAAATTAATAACAGACAATTTAGAATTCAAAGCTGGAAAGAATCTAACAGGCCATGAATGAAAAGTATAATCCATAACAAAGATATGACAGTGAAGAGTCTCCCTGAGCTCAGTAAGAAAGCATCATAATATATAATATAAAGCAAAAGCCATAATCATGGTGAGCTTTTACTTGACAACTGTATCTACTAGCTTGCCATAGGGCATAGCCTCAAAACTTAAAAAGAAATCCTTGTCATTGATTTATTTAGACTAGATATCTGGTAGCTATTTGGGTCTTTGGATTCTGAAATAAACCACTGGCTAAAAAGACTCGTGAAATACAATTTAACAAAATCCTACTCAAAAACCTAAAGGATTTTTTAAAAAAGAAATTGATTTGCTGATTCTAAAATGTATATGGAAGCACTAAGGCTAGAGAATTACCAAGACAATCTTGGAGAAGAGAAATAAAATTGAAGGACTTACACTACTTGATTTCAAGACTTACTATAGAGCTATATTAATTAAGATGGTAGCGTATTGGCAAAAAGACAGACAAATAGACCAACAGAACAAGATAGAGAGTTTAGAAATAGACTCATGTATATGAATATGTATATGTATATGACATACATATGTCAATTGAATTAGAACAAAGGAACCAGTGAAATTCAAGGGGAAAAAGATCAAAATCACATCATAAGAGGTGTATGCAAAATGTGAGATATAGTCACAACCAAAGAAAATACTACCTGCCACAGAAAAAAAAAAGAGCTACGTTGATCTTCATTAAAATTAAAAACTTCTGACTTTCAAAAGACGCTGTTCTAAAAATGGTAGGAAAAACTACGGATTGGGAAAAAATATTTGCAATACATGTATCTCACAAAAAACTTGTATCCGGAATATCTAACAGAATGCTACAACTCAATAGCAATGAAAAACAGACAAAAGTAGGGGAGATGGGGAATGGGGAGCTGTTGTTTAATGAGTATAGAGTTTCAGTTTTGTAAGATGACAGGGGTTCTGGAGACTGGTTCCACAACAATAGGAATGTACTTAACATTATGGAACTGTACACTTAAAAATGGTTAAGGTGGTAAATTTTATGTTATGTGTATTTTACCACAATTTTTAAAAAAAGTCTTGTATAGTCCTTTTACAAAAGATGGTCTAAGAACGGCCAATAAGCGCATGAAAAGATGCTCAACATCATTAATTATCAGGGAAATGCAAGTTAAAACTACAGAGATACCATTTTAGGATGGCTACAGCGTAAAAGCAGACAATATCAAGCTAGTGAGAACGCGCAGCAACAAGAACTCTCAAACACTGCTGGTGGGAGGGTAAAACGATACGATCACTTTGGAATACTGGCAATTTCTTATCAAGTTGAACACACATACTCCTAGGTCCCAGCCATTCCACTCTTACCCGAGTGTTACAAAAACGTATTTCCACAAATGACTTGTTCCAGAATGTTTAGAGCAGCTTTTTTTCAAAATAGTCCCTAACTGGAAACAGCCCAGGTGTCCATCAAGAGGAGAACGGATAAATAAACTATGGTGTATTCATACAACAGAATAACACTCAGCGATACAAAGAAACAATTGCTACCAATATACACCATTACATGGATGAATCTTAAAAGCACTATGCAGAGTGAGATAAGCCAGACATAAAAGAGTATATACTGTATCATTCCATCTACATACGTTTTAGGAACAGGCAAGACTAACCTGTAGGGACAGAAATCAGAACCACGTTTGTTTGGCAGGTGATGTGGGTACGGTATTTCTGGAAAGGGACATGAAGGAACTTGCACTGATGATGGAAATGTTCTACACCTTGACGTAGGTGATGGCTACACAGGAGAAAACTTCAAATCGTACACTTAATATTTGTGCTCTTCACCATATGTAAAATATACCTCAATCCTAAGAAAATAGTAAACCTTTCCTTTCATAGCATTTATTCAAATACATAATTTACAATTTGATGTTTACTGATTAATGTTCATCCTTCCTAAACTCTAAGTCAAGCACTATTCTAAGCTCTGCGAGTAAAACAGTTGACAAGGCAGACCAGTTCAAGATCTCATGGAATTTGTAGGCTGTAAAGGAAGGAACCATACTTGTCACGTGCACTGTCTTATTCCCAGCACAGAACATGGTACTTGGTGCATATTTGTGCTCAATAAATATTTGTGGAGTGGAGGAGTGACTAGAGTGTAGGGGACCAAGGAAAAATGTGAATGTACCCAAAACTCACTCACTCGCTCACTCACTCATCACTCTTTCTCTTTCCTTCTATCCCCCGTCTGTTTTTCTTAAATATTTGCTATCCACTCTGCTGAGTGTCTCGAGTGCTTTTGTACTGTGTGGATGTATAGATAAGAATTTGTGAACCTGGAACCCCAGATAACTAGTGGCACGTAGAAGCATTCTAGGCGTATTCTCTACTGGAGTACCATCCCCCCTCCACAGGAAGATAGACTGTATGATCATCTGAGGGCAGGCCAAGATTTTTCTCAAGAAAAAGATTGAATCTATTGATGTGCTTGGACTTGTATAATTTTAAGATTTTAAAAGTTTGTTTCACGAAGCTTGGACAATTCAAATTTCCACCAGGAAGTTTTACCAGATAATCCTAAAAAAGCCTGATTTTGAGTAGCTCAGCATTCTCACGGGTCTTCCAACATTTTATGTGTCCAGCTGATTAAATCTCTAAAATGAGGATTACTCCAATTGAAATTGTAACCTTTAGGTGAGAGGACGAATAAAATCAAAAGAGGAAGAAAGAGACTATATATTCCTATGTATGTAGACCACTTTTGGAACATGTCAGGAATCTATTATTAAAATTCTCAGCAAGGTTCATATTGCTATGTAAATTCAGTTAAAAACTAGAAATAATTTAGTATTATCTTGCCAGTGTTCTTAAGTTCTTTGATCTCTTGCAGCAACTTAAATTTAGAAAATAGTCTTAAAGTGAAAAATGCTGAAAAAAAAATTTAAAGGAAGTGATTTTAGATTGTAAGCCTCTTGAAGCAAGAGACCATATTTTATATTTCTTGAGCCTTTTCCCTTTTGCGTGCTCTACTTTGGCAGCCCAGCTTTTGCGGGTTCAGATCCCGGGCACAGACTTACACACTGCTCACCAAGCCATGCTGTGGCGGAGACCCACATACAAAATAGAGGAAGATTGGCACAGATGTTAGCTCAGGGCCAATCTTCCTCACCAAAAAAAAAAAAAAAAAGAGAGAGAGACAAAGAGCATCTAAACATGATATGTACTTACAACATAATTGAAGGATGTGTCAGCAAGCACCGCAAACTGACGAAACAATGTGTGCCTAGTAAACATCTCGTTCTTAAGGACATGGAAGCTGAAATAAAAGAAACAGTGAAACTAAAACTTATAGAAATCAGGATAAAGCAAATCAGTATTATGTTCATGTGGCTAGGAACTAGAATTTTCAGTTCAAAGAGAATTCTAGAATTTTCAGTTCAAAAGAAAAGAGATACAAGTAAACATTTAAAAATATTAGCATGAACTTATTATTTCTTTCATTTTTAAAATTACATGTTTTCTAGCCCTGAAAAGGCACAGAAGCAACGGCAACACAGTACCAATGGGCACCCCTCAGGCCCAGACTGTGGTTTTATAAACATTTTTCCCTAAAATGAACCAGGGTATCTTTTATAAATGGCTGTTTCTAGATCTAAGGCAATAAATAAATGTACAGGATGAGCCTGGGACATTTTATTGTTAAGGGAGTCATCAAAGATTATGTCAAAAGAACATAGTCACCTTGAAAGGGCCCCCATTGACTTAAGATTGGAGAAATTAAGCATCAAAAATAATGATTACAATGTATTGAAATACAACCAATATATTAAAAGTTTGAAAAATTTTCAGCCTATCCAGATTGCAAATGATGCTAAAATTAGGAGATTCACTATCAGGAAAGCATGCTCTGGAGGGAAAGCCAAGAATATGATGGATGACCATTGGCTAGCAACCAGGAAGGAACAGAAAAATCACAGTATTCGGTCACACAGAGGGTTCTTAGAAGAAACTGTGTGTGACTTATGGACTAAAACCACAATGAGGTACCACTTCACAGCTACTAGGATGACTAAAACCAAAAAGACAGACAATAATAAATGTTGGAAAGGATATAGAGAAACTGGAACCCTCATTCATTGCTAGTGGAATTGTAAAATGGTGTGGCTACTTTGGAAAACAGTTTGGCAGTTCCTCAAAATGTTAAACATAGAATTATCATATGACCCAGCAATTTCTTCCTAGGTACATACCTGAGAGAATTTAGAACATGTGTTCACACTAAAACCTGCCCATGAATGTTAATAGCAGCATTATTCATAGTAGCCAAAAAGTGGAAATAACTCAGATGTCTAATAACTGAAGAATGGATAAACAAAATATGATATATCCATACAATGGAATATTATTTGGCAGTCAAAAGTAATGAGGTACTGATAAATTCTACAACACAGATGACCTTGAAAACATTATGCCAAGTGAAAGAAGCCAGTCACAAAAGGCCACATATTGTATGATTCCACCTGAATAAAATGTCTGGAATGGGCGAATCCATAGAGACAGAAAGTAGATTAGTGGTTGCTAGTGGCTGAGAAAGAGGGGAATGGGAAGTGACCACTAATGGGTATGGGTTCCTTTTTGGGTTGATCAAAGTGTTCTGATTTAGACAGTGGTAACATACCACTTTTGACCCATCAAAACTACTAGGCATCTATCTTACAGAAATAATAGCAATAGTGTATTAAAAATACATGAGTATATTCAAGGCAGCACTGTTTTGTTTTGTTTTGTTTGTGGTTTTTTTTTTCTTTGATGAGGAAGATTGGCCCTGAGCTAACATCCTTGCCCATCTTCCTCTACTTTATATGGGATGCCACCACAGCATGGCTTGATAAGCGGTGCATAGGTCTGCACCTGGGATCCGAACCTGCCAACCCTGGGCCGCCGAAGCGGAGCGCACGAATTTAACCACTATGCCACTGGGCTGGCCCCAGTGCAACACTGTTTATACTGGAAAAAAATTAAACAGCCTAACTAGTTGGATAAATTATAATCTAACATATACGAGGACCATGTAGCCATCAAAATGAATGAGGTAGATCTAAATGTACTGATGGAGAAAGCTGTCCGAAATAGTGTTAAGTAAAAAGGGCAAATTTCAGGCTAAATGTGTACAAGATGATTCTAACTTTTGTAAAAATATGTTATACAGTAAATAATGCTGCAATGAACATGGGAGTGCAGATAAGTCTTCGATATCCTATTTTCATTTCCTTTGGACATGTACCAGAAGTGGAATTGCTGGATCATATGGTAGCTCTATTTTTAATTTTTTGGGGAACTTCCATACTGTTTTGCATAGTGGCTGCACCAATTTACACACCCACCAACAGTGAATAAGGGTTCCTTTTTCTCCACATCCTCGCCATCACTTGTTATTTCTTATCTTTTTTTTTCGAGGAAGATTAGCCCTGAGCTAACATCTGTTGCCAATCCTCCTCTTTTTGCTGAGGAAGATTGGCCCTGGGCTAATCCGTGCCCATCTTCCTCTATTTTACGTGGGATCCTGCCACAGCATGGCTTGATGAGCGGTGCGTAGGTCTGCGCTGGGGATCAGAACCTGCGAACACTGTGGCTGAAGCCGAGTGCGTGAACTTCACTGCTACGCCATGGGGCTGGCCCCTACTTCCTGTCTTTTTGATGATGGACATTCTAACAGGTGTGAGGTGATATCTAACTGTGGTTTTGATTTGAATTTTCCTGATGATTAGTGATGGTGAGCACCTTTTCAGGTGCCTGTTGGCCATCTCTATGTTTTCTTTGGAAAAATGTCTGTTCAGTTCCTCTGCCTATTTTTTAATCAGATTGTTTGGGTTTTGTTTTGTTTTTTGCTGTTGAGTTGTGTGTGTTCTTTGTATATTTGGGATATTAACCTCTTATCAGATATATGATTTTCAAATATTTTCTCCCATTCTGTAGGGTGCCATTTAATTTTGATGATGACTTCCCTCGCTAGGCAGAAGCTTTTCAGTTTGATGTAGTCCCACTTATTTGTTTTTGCCTTTGTTGCCTTTGCTTTTGGTGTCAAATCCAAAAAATTATCACTAACACTGATGTGAAGGAGCTTACCCCCTATGTTTTCTTCCAGAAGTTTTACAGTTTCAGGTCTTAAATTTAAGTCTTTAATCCATTTTGAGTTGACTTTTGTGTAAGGGTAAGATGGGGTTCCAGTTTCATTCTCTTCCATGTGGCTGTCCCGTTTTCCCAATACCATTTATTGAAGAGATTGTCCTTTCCCCACTGAATATTCTTGGTTCCTTTGTCATAAATTAATTGACAATACATGTGCGGGTTTATTTCTGGGCTCTCTATTCTGTTTTATTGATCTATGTGTCTGTTTTTATGCCAATACCATACTGTTTTGATGACTATAGCTTTGTAATAGAGTTCGGAATCATGGAACGTGATGCCTCTAGCTTTGTTTTTTCTCAAGATTGCTTTGGCTATTTGGGACCTGTAGTGGTTCCATATAAACTGTACGATTGTTTTTTCTATTTCTTTGAAAAATGTCATTGGAATTTTATAGGGATTACATTGAATCTATAGATGGTTTTGGGTAGTATGGACATTTTAATAATATTAATTCTTCCAATTCATGAGCATGGAGTACCTTTCCATTTATATGTACTGTCTTCAATTTCATTCATCAATGTCTTATAATTTTCAATGTACAGATCTTTCACTTCCTTAGTTAAATTTATTCCTAAGTATTTTATTCTTTTTGATGCAATTGTAAATGGGATTGTTTTCTTAATTTCTTTTTCTGGTAGTTTATTGTTAGTGTATAGAAATGCAACTGTTTTTTGTATATTGGTTTTGTATCCTGCAACTTTACTGAATTTGTTTATTAGTTCTAAGTATTTTGGTGCAGTTTTTAGGGTTTTCTACATAAAATATCATGTCATCTGCAAATAGAGACAATTTTATTTCTTCCTTTTCAATTTGATTGCCTTTCTTTTATTTCATTTATATATTTTTTATATATTTAAAGCAGGAAAAGTGTTCTGACAAATAGAAAACTGACACAAGATATTGTAAACTATAATTTGCATCCATAACAATCTAAAACCCCAAATCAGGATGCTAACAGGTGGAAAGGGGGTGAAAAGGGAAAGGAAAACTCAGAGGTGTGTAAGAGCAAACTAAGCTATTTGACTTGTTTGGGAAAGATATAGAAATATTGATAAGCTTAACAAGTTCGTAGGAGAAAAATAAGCGTAAGTATGGAAATGACCTGAATGTCTATTAACTGGTGAATGAATAAATAAATTGTGATATATCCACACAATGGAAGATTACTCAGCAATGAAAAAGAACAAATTACTGGCAGGCAATGCAACAAGATGGAGTAATCTCAAAGGCATTATGCTAAATGAAAAAAACAGACATGAAAGACTACACACTGTGTGATTCAATTTATCTGACATTCTAGAAAAGGCATTGCCTACAGTAACAGAAAATAGATCAGTGATTGCATGGGGTAGAGGGTGACTGGTTGCAAATGAGTATGCAGACTTATAGGTATGATGGAAATATATATCATATCTCATTTGAGATGTTATATAGCTTTATGCATTTATCAAAACTCCATCAAACTGTATACTTTAAAAGGGTGAATTTTATTATATATGAATTATATCTCAATAAGTGGAATATTAAAAAAAGGAAAATCAGGCCATTAGGATAGCATGCGATTCAAGAAAGAGTGATAAACAAATAAAATATCCACATAAATACAATCTGTAAATAATAACAATAGTAGTTCTAATTTGTGGGTTTAAAATACTATAACTAAAATACTGGACAAAAATAGTCCATAATTTGGGAGAATAACGATTGGAGCTAAAGTGTTCCAAAATCTTTACATTATTCAGGAGGGAGTCATGGTGATATTTAGCTACAGAGTTTATTAAGTTTAATATACATGGCAAATATTCAAGGATAACACTCAGAATAGAAAGCTATAAATTCCAGTAGAGAAAAACTAGAATTAAAAAAATGAATTATTAAAACACAATCAACATGAAAAATGGTAGCCTATCAATTTAATTCACTGGATTAATGGACCAAAGAAGAACTATCCCATGATAATCTCAATTATCTCAATTTTTTAAAAGTCCAACCCCTATTAATGACAAAATCTCATGGAAAACTAGAAACAGAAGGAAAGCTCCTTCATTTGATAAAATTATCCACTAAAAAAACTACAGCAATGAAGAAACTTACAATGCCTTCCTTTTAAAATTGGGACCAAAATAA